CAGCACCACTACAAAAAAAAAAAGAGGTTTTTTTTTTTTTAATTCAAAAAAAAAAAAAAAACTCACATATATTTCAAAAAACAATTTGAGGGAGGCCGGGGACCTCACAATTCAACCCGGAGTTATCCCGGCAGCATCAGCCGGTTTAGCTTAGCATGAGACACAATTGGGCTTTACCCTTGTACACTTCACGGACTTTCTGATTCTTCCATCAGCCAACAGGGCCGTCCATATCAAACTGAATATAACCAACCTTTAACACTTCTGACGCACATTCCTGCTAGCATCTCCACCTTCCTCTGTTGATAACTATCCTCATCTACCTAGCCTCTACAGCCTATTTCTATACTACTTAGTTTTATTTTTGTTTGAGGCAGTAATTTTTTTTTTTTTTTTTTTTTTTTGTATGTGACCCTCTCAGCATTTGTGATGCTGCTGGATCAGATTGTGTTTCAAGGTCTGATGGGCCGATGATCCCATAGGAGCTTGGAGTAGACCAGTCTATTATTCTTGGCCAGGTCTGCCCAAAGGAAAGGGGATGCCCATTTCTTAGTACGGAATTGCGAGGACGCCACCTCGTCAGATGTTGATGAGTTCTTAAGTCTATGCCAGTCTGCTGTGATATCTAGTCGCACCGCATGCTTGAATTGGGAAATAAGAGAAGGAAGAGGATCTATTGTAGCAAGAAATTTCCTGTCCCTTCTGGCTATCCGAATTTGCCAAAAGGCTCTCGCTCTGAACAAGATACTTAATACCTTCTCTGCCTGTTGTTTATGGCTGCACCCTGCCTGTGAAGACTATGGTAGATCTATTGTAAGCTACTTAACAATTTGAAAAAGTCATCAGTCACAAACATGGAACGACAATCCACACAAGAACCAAAGCACCGGAACATGCAAAGTTACATACTATCTGCAACCAAGAAAAAGACGAGAAAGAAGAGGAAGAGGAGGAGAAGCAGAAGAAGAAGAAAGGGAGGAAGAGGAGGAGGGAGAAGGGAAAGAATAAACACGCAGGTTCGTGAAAAAAAAAAACGGACGCGACATATAAAAGTATTACAGTAGTAGCTCAGGCGGCATGGACCCTAGTATGGGCCTCGCTGCACTACTCTTGAAATGAACAAAAGACAAAAATCGTGGCCGTGTATCTTTCCATATTCTAGCGGAAGATTCACTCTCGTTTTGCACATTTCAAGAGTGGTGCAGCCACGCCCTATGTCCTGGGGCTAGGTCCCACTTGCACGAATTAAGAGATGGTGACCGTACATAGCAAAGATCAACGGCCCAAATCTCCTAGTCGGCGCAAGTGGGACCTTGCCCCTGGTTCCAGAAGTCCTTGGCGTTGTATGCCTCCAACCAGAGCTTATTGAGAAATTCCCAGAATCCTCTAGCGATGACACATTCCCACCAGAGGTGTAGTCCATCTTCTAAACAGGGGTGGGGACATGCTTCGCAGAGAACAGGTACGTCCATTCCTTTTTCTGAACACCACAGGGAGGTGGGAACACACGAATGTAAATGTAACCATTGTAAAGTTTAATGTAGCGGACCCACCAGGTGTGGTGCTCCGCTAGTGACAGAGATGGAGATGGAGGAAGAAGGGGGAGCAAGATGGCACAACGCAGCTCCCCACGCAAGACTCCAACGCACGTACTCCAAAATGTGCCAGTGAGGAATCAGACTGAAAACAGACAATGGCTGGGGTATACCCCAGCGGACTGACGAGACTGGACTGGACTGGCTGGTACCGATAGAGGTACCAGCCTGGACTGGCCTACCTCGAATATAACACAGGCCTGTGAGAACAGGCCAAGGGGCTGGTCTCACAGGCCAACCCGAGGTCAGCTACACGATCCTCAGCCTGTGATGGATCGCCTAGATACAAACATGCTTCCGCCAAGAAGCGGAACTCTACCAAAGAAAAGAAAACCTGAGTAGTCAAGGATGCGGAGCAAGCTCCATGCCGAGTCCATGCGATGCAACCTAGGATATAAAATGTCACAAAACAGCAATGTCACAGCTAACAGCCTAAGTGAAAGTAGGAGAAACTAACTAACATACATGTCCTAGGAAAGCAAAAAGTAGTGACAACTAGATCCTAGAATGTTGGAGGCACTAGCCTCAGTCTGGTAACAACTGACTAGTGTATAAGTCCTAAGAACAGSAAAAGCAKARCAACTAAATCCTAGAAATGTCRGAGGCAGTAGCCTYAGTCTGAGAGCAACAAAGCAATCAACAAGACAACCATATGTCACATGAGAAGTGTGTCGCACACCAAAGGGTGGGATGGTCTCTGAGGGTGGCGAATGCAGCCTAGGGGTCGAAAACTCCTAAGGGCATCCACACATAGTGACAGGGGAAAACACATGTCATCGGGCTCAATGAGGGTAGGGAACTGGGAGCGAACAAAACCAATGACCCTAACAGATATACCATCAGGGCGGTTAATGATCGACTAAGGGGTGACTGCCATGGAGGGTCGACCATGCAAGGGAACAAGGGAGCCTGGTATACTGGGCGCACCTAGATGAAGCATGAGGGGCTGCCTAACTAGGGTGTGAGGGCCGGCGAAGGGTAGAAAGATGATGGGTAAGGGAATCATGCAAATGACTCCTAAAGTGAGGGAAGTCAGAGCTAGATCTGTAAGATGGGAAGCCAGGGCAACGCTACGGTCCCGATGCCTATGCGTATACCAAGGGAGAGCCCAACTCAGAGGAACCCGGCTAAAGGAAGACCATCATGCGACACAAGCAGGGTACTATACAGGGTAGAGTGGTAAGAGAGTGGCGACGTCTGAAGTAGGCAGAGCTGATCGTGATGAAGTCCATGAAGCCACCGATGACGTCCACGATGAGAAGTCCGGAATGTCGTCGAGGAAGAGCCGCAGCGTCGACGAGCTGAAGTAGCAAAACTGATGTGGATAGAGTACTGAGAAGTCAAAGACGTGGGAAGGTAAGTTAGAGTCAATCGTCGTATCGAGCAGGACGACGACGAGTGCGCTGTGGACGCTCAGAAGCATCCGGCTGCTGCTGAAGGTCTGCCTCAGATGGAGCAAGCTCGACTTCAGCAGACTCCTCAGCCGGAGGAGAAGGAGGAGGAGCAGTAGGCTGAGGAGGAGCAGTGAACCCAGCACGACGAGCACGGTCATAGGCACGCACCAACATGCGAGCGTGCTGCAAGTGCTCGAGGGGCTCTCAGGTAGCCTCCTCATCAGGGTAACCCTTCCAACGTACGAGATACTCGACGTGGTGAGGGTTGTCGTCGGTGACTCGGCGACCAATGATGTCTGAAACGAGGAACTCCTCGTGGCCGTCCACCATGATGGGTGGAGGGCGCTCGTATGGTCRTCCAGCGAAACGCTCAGACGGTCTGCGGTAAGGACGCAGTAACGAGACGTGGTAGACATCATGCACACGAGCCTGGCGTAGGTAGTCAGGCAGCTTCACACGAAAGCTGACCGGGCTAGATGCCGTATCAGAACCGACGGCCTGCAGGATGCGGCATGGGCCAAAGAAGCGACGCCGAAACTTGCGAAGCGTGTCCGCTTCGAGCTGTAAGTG